ACTCCAATGAAAATTATTTATCTTTGACAATTGAGTTAAAGGTTTAGCAAGTTTGCCATAATCTTTAACAAATCTTCTATAATAGCCCGTAAGCCCCAAAAAGCCTCTCAATGCCTTCACATCCTTGGGCACTAGCCACAACCACATAGCCTCAACTTTCGTTGGATCAGCAACCACCCCTTCTGCCAAAATAATGTGGCCCAAATACTCTAATCTTCCTTGACCAAAGTTGCATTTTTTTTTTTATTAACAAACAGTTTATGCTCTCTTAACATCTTGATTAATGCTGTATACCAAGATATCATCAAAGAATACCAACACAAACTTTCCCAAAAATGGCCTGAAAATATCATTCATAAGTGCTTGAAAAGTCGAAGGAGCATTGGTTAAACCAAAACGCATCACTAAAATTCATAATGCCCCTCATGAGTACGAAATGCAGTTTTTTTTAATATCTTCTTCCTTCATTCTAATTTGATGGTATCCTGACTTGAAATCCAACTTGGAAAAAATAGTTGCTGCTCCCAATTCATCCAATAATTCATCAATAATAGGAATCGGAAACTTATTCCTAACAGTAATTTTATTTAAAACTCTATAATCCACACAAAATCTCCAACTGCCATATTTTTTCTTCACCAAAATAATTGGACTAGAGTAAGGACTAACACTAGGTCTTATAATACCAGCAGTTAACATCTCATCAATCAACTTTTCTATCTCAATTTTTTGGTAATAAGGATACCTGTATGGCTGTAAGTTGGGAATTTCAGCACCTTCCATAAGAATAATTGCATGATCTTGCTTCCTTTCTGGAGGTAATTCCTGGGGCTCCTTGAATACATCATCAAATCCTTCTAAAACTTCCTGTACAGCAGCTGGAATGGATTCATTATCACTCGATACTCCTGTCATAATTTTGTATTCAATAAAGAACCCTTGACCTTCATCATGGAGAGCCTTCACCATTGATTTCAACGAAGCAACGGATCTGGACAATGTTGGTTCATCCCTTAAAATCAGCATTTCACCTTCAACCTCAATCTTGATAGTTAATTCTCTGAAGTTTGCCCTTATTTCTCCTAAACTTTCCAACCAATGCATGCCTAACACTAGATCAGCTCCCTTTAACTCAAACAGAAAAAATTCTTGTTGAATTTCCAGCCCTTGTAATTTCAGAACTACTTCTTGACAAACTCCCATACATTTGATTTTGTGCCTATCCCCTACTTCCACATAATAGATAGGTGTACTTGCTATAGGAATATTCAATTCTTGCTATGAAGTTATGAGATGCACCACAATCAATCAACACCACTACCTTTTTATTTCCAATTTCACCTCACAACTTAAGTGATCTTTTAGAGGTTAGCCCCATAATACTTTGCATGGACAATTGTAAAGCCTTCTTATCTTGGTCTTCCTCAATCGATAAAGAACCATCTTCTATCTCCCCATCCTTAATTTCTTCCATCAACATCACTTGAAATTGCTTATTTTTGCATATGTGGTCAGGACTATATTTTTGATCACATCTAAAACACAATCACTTCCTGATCTTTTCTTGTAATTCACCCTCTGATAACCTCTTAAATCCCCCTCTACTTCTGAAAGTACCATTTGGCCTATCAATATTAAACCCAACCCTTGTATTTTTCCCTTTGATGCACATTTTGCGTGCTGATTTTGGGCCGGCTTCCACAGTTACCGTCTTGGAAGATGGAGAGTTGCTGTGATTGATTACCATTTTTCCTCCTGTTGTAGATCCCTCAATTTTTAAAGCTAAGTTCTTCTCATTGATCATTTGAGCACAATCCGTCATTTCTGAAAGGGTTTCCACTTGATGCAACTTCAGTTCCGCTCTAAAATCCATTCAAAAATATTCCTTTGAGGTATTGCTGATCTGTACACCTCAAAGGACCAGCATATAACTCAAATTTTTCCCTAAAATCCTCCACCGTTGTAGTTTGTTTCAAACTCAACAGTAACTCGTATGGATTCTGCATCATTGTTGGCTGAAATCTTCGAATTACCGCTCTCTTAAAGCCCTCCCATGAAGGATTTATCGAACAAGATTCCACTATTGGAACCAACTTAATGCCTTACCTTCCAAGGCTATGATTACCGCTTGTAGTTTTTCTTCCTCCATCACTTCCTTGATTTGGAAATAGCGCTCGACTCTATTTACCCATCCATACGTGTCTTCTCCCGAGAACACCGGAATTTCAAGTTTTCTCCAATGACCAGCTGATTTAGAAGTTTTTGTTCCTTCAATATACCCACCGTTAACTTCTTTATTTCCCACACTATGATTTGCCTCAATATCTGATTTTTCTCCCATCATACTCCTAGTCAACCCTTCAAGAAGTTCTTCAATCTTCTTCATTTGGGCATCTTGAAATTCTATGCGTGTTTCTTGTATTTCTCTATCTTCTTCCATTTCCCTTTTCTATGCTTCTAAACCCCTTTCTAACAACTCCAATCTAGATTCCATCCTTGTAATCACCATGAAAATAAGAAGAAACAAAAAGTTTAAATTCAGTACTTAACTGAGATGTAGTCCTTCCTGCAAACCAGACATGCAATCAGCCAACTCCTCCTCTTCTTTGCTTGATTCCACCCAGATTTTCTTCTGCTCTGATACCAATTGATAAGAACAAATTTCTAAAATTCTGAATCTTGAAATAATTTTATTTATAAACTAAAAATTACAGATCAATACAGTACATTAGAGAGATCCTGATCTCTCCCATCTAAGCATTCACTCAAATGTCTCCTAACTTCCCTTCTCCCCCTCCTCCTATTTCTAACTAAGAGATAATAGAATTTGTAACTGAAAGAAACCAACACTTCTAACTGAAGGAAACCAACACAAACCAACACTTATAACTGCAAGAAACCAACAAGACCCTTAACTGCTCTTATCCTACACTACAGCTTTCTTTCTTCTAACATATACATGCTGTAATGGAAGTTTCCTAACACTTTCATAGTATGTAGGAAACTTTCTATGTGCTAACATTTAACTCTCTCTCTCTCTCTCTCTCTCTCTCACGCTAGAGTTTTAAATCATATAGCAATACATGGGCAATGTTGGTGAGAGGATGAAAACGTGGATGATGGTTATAAGCGGCAACCTCTGATACAGGATTGCTAACTTGGATGGCATTACTTTTATTGCCTATGCTTAATTACATGACTACAAGTAATATCATCGGAAATCTGCTTAATATCTGAGCATGTTTTGCAATCTAAATACACTTGGGAAGAACTTTCGTTAGGTCTATTCATTTCTGATAGAGAAGGTGAGATTGCATTTAGAAAGTTTGTCTGTGCAGCTGTATTGATCAGGAATCTGATGCTACAATAGACCAAATACGTACCTTTGTTGAAGTGCATAAAATGTGATATTTTTACTTAATATGTCAATAAAGCTTAGAATGATACAGTTATCAATATTTCTTAATGGTAGTTGATTATTTCTTTTTCTTTTTTTTTGGGATACATTCTGCAAGTAGTTACCTGGATTGTGGGATTGTATGGAACGCAGGACAGGTATGGGTACATGGTTTGTCACTTACTTTGGTTTGGGGTATGGGGGGATGGGTTTATTTAGAACGTTATTTTGGGACATGATACGGTTGAGAGTGATAGTATGGGTTTTCCATATATATGTTATATGTATATATAACTATGGACATGTTTTTAATTTCTAATTAGTAAAGGATAAGATATGGTTAATAAAAAGAAAGAATTCTCATCAAACGATAAATTAAAACATAAAATTAAATTTTAGTCTTTGTTTTGGAAAAAGGATTCTTAATAAATGCGTTATATTCACTTAAAGGAAGATCTAATTTTCAGCATTTGTTATAGAAAAGGAATTCTTGATAAATGCATTATAGTTCCTTAAAAAAACAAAACTAATGGAATTGGAAGGTTTGATTTTTGGGCTTTGTTTTGGAAAAAGAATTTGTAATAAATGCATTATATTCGCTGGAAAAAAACTGTTGGAATGTTTAATTTCCAGCCTTTATTTTGGAAAAGGAATTCTTAATAAATGCATTCCTTAATAAGTCCTGGACTCTAGGCTAAGTACATTGCTGTCAATCGTAAGAAGGAAGGTCTAATTAATGCTAGGAAGATGTTTGCTCATTTATATTAACAAATTGAGTCAAATAATTCAAACATGGACAAAGTGAATTCGGGATGCTGTAAATAGTGATCTAGGTCGAGAATGCACCACGAATTGGGTTGCTCGACCCAGATCAAAATTCCCTGGGGGTAGGGTGAATCAGGTAACTGTGTTTCTGCATGTGAATGTGCCAAGTAATCCATTCTTCTTTGGCATGCATATTCTAATTATTGAGAGAACATTTCTAGTTCACATTGCATCTAAAGTTTACTTGGGCATAGAAAAATGGTTGGACTAGGTTTTTGGTCAGCTGTTTTGACCAGGAACCTGACGCTACTATGCAACAAATATATGAGTTTTTTTTTTTCTTTCCAAAAGTGGAAAGTAGGTGATATCTTATTATGTCAATAGAGTCTCCACTGACAGAATTGTCTATATTTCTTAGTAGTAGCTAAATTTCTCTTTTCAGATACTTTATGCATGTGAAGGTGCCAAGAACTTGTGCTTATTTGGTTATGTAGTCTAATTAGTGCGAAAAATTGCAAAAATGTTTGTTGCTAAGAGATTTTTCCTACTGTGTATGATATTAATGGTATTATACATGGTTTAACCAATAGGATTCAGAGTAGAATTTTCGGATGAAATATATCCTAAGATGGCATTTATATATGTTAGAAGGATAAATGATACAATGTTAAAATTGTTCCTATTTCCATGTCTTCATCTTTTGGTTTTTGATGGAGGTTTACTGCATGTTAGTAGCTGTGGCAGACTGGCAACAAACATTTCATATGACAATGTTATCTGATCTGAATGACATAACTGAACACATAGTTTCTTTGTAAGCAACAGAATTGTCTGAAAGATGTCATATTCTCTGCAGGGTTCCAAGCGTCCAAGAACTGGGATGTCTGAATCAATGAGTCAACAGGGTATTATGACAAATGCTTCTGTGCAGGACACATACCAATCTGATTTTGGATCTGTTGAGGTTAACAATTCAACCATTACTGGGATTGCAAATGATGTTGGATCACATTGGGATTGGGATGATGATGATAGAGGTGTCTGCATGGATATCCAAGCACTTCTGTCTGAGTTTGGTGATTTTGGTGACTTCTTTGAAAATGATGCTTTGCCTTTTGGAGAGGTAATGTTTTCCCCTTTGTTTTGATAAATTACTTATGCAATGATGTGGTGCTACGCTTGACCATTTCTTAGAATGAAGTTCTCAGAGTTGATTGGTTGTGATGTTCAAAAGTTTTAGAACTTATAGGAATCATATAATTGACTAAAGAGTTCTTATCCTTGTGGTGCTGTAACTGTATTCTTTTTTCTTTTTTATTATTTTTTATTTTTTTATTTTAAACATCTTGCATGCTGGAAATAAAATGCATCTTCTTCTTTCTGTTACTTGTGATATCTTGCATGGTTGATATATAGCAAATGTTTATCCTTCTGTTGAATCCCAAAAATTGTAATTTGTTTTATAGTTATTTTCTTTGCTAATATGGTCATATGGGGTGCCTTCTCTTCATTAGTTTTTTGGAAGTCTATTCATGAATTTTGGTATAAGAACATCTAATGTCAATATAAATGCTATATAGATTTTTTGAATTTTGTTTCTTAATATTTTCCTATAGAATTCTTTGCTCATGTTTTTTTTATTTTCCTGCATAAGTTGCACCAATGTTTTAGCATTACCTTTCTTCTTGGTTTTGTTCTTTATTGATAATTTTCTTTACTTCTTATGGTTTGCCACAGTAAACTAATTACTATTCTTTCTTGGTGAAGCCCCCAGGTAGTGTGGATCCTATGTTTTCTGTACAGGATTGTGGAGATGTTGGTGGTAGTCCTTACACTGGGATAATGGATGTTGCAGATCAGATGGTTTTGCCTGGAGGCTTTTCATCTTTTGACAATTTCAATCCTCCTCCAGTTGCCATGGAGGAGTCTCTTACCAAAAGTCAAGAAGTCTTAAAGAATGAGATGTCTTCAGGTGCTGTTAATTCTACTCCAGTGTCTTCTGTGGGTGAGTTTGTCCACTTGATAAAAGCTGAGGCGCTGATGACATTTGCTCCAGAATATGGAGCTGTTGAAACCCCAGCCAGTGAGTTTTCAACATCAATTTTCAGGAGCCCGTACATACCAAAATCTCGAGAAGTTCAGAGTGCAACTTCAAGCTCAAAAAGTAATGTATACTGTGCAACACCACCTTCATCGCCTTGCATAGATGGATCGGATGAGAAGTCTGCTGTGGTTGTAAACCCAAAAGCATGCTCCAGCAAGCATGATTCTGCTGCTTATTACACAGTTGTAGAGACTGGGAAAGACCAGCATGAAAGAAAGATATATTCTTGCAACAATGGTGTTGTTCCTCATGAGGCAATAGTGCCTTCTTCATACCCTGGTTTCAATTCTACAAATGCTGTCAAATCTGTCCAGAAGAAAATGAGTGAAGCAACATTTGGCACGGAAAATTTTCTTGTATCTATGCGAACTGTGCTTGCCACAGAAGTTGAATGTGTTATATTTCAAGTTTCTATGTGCAGGTTTCGACATATTCTGTTATCTTCTAGCAGTGTGCCACCTATGGCTTTGAGTAGGTTAGCTGGAAGTACTGTTCTAAATCAGTTGCATAGTGAACCAAACACCACAAATTGTAACGTTTTTAACAAGTATGATGTGAAAAAGAGAGAATCAATACCTGTTAGAATAGCTGGTGACATTGATGGAGGACTGCTAGATGGACCACTTAATGCACCTGTAGGTGTTTGGCGCTCAGTTGGAGTTCCTAAAGGTGTAAAACCAAGTACATCTCCTACCATGGACATAGGTGCCCCTTTAGCACCACTTTCATCCAATGAAGAGGGAATGCTCTCTTATGGGCCAAGGCAACCACTTCAGGAATTCCTTGATGGCTTGGCATTACTTGTACAACAGGCTACTTCATTTGTTGATCTTGCACTTGATGCTGATTGCAATGATGGCCCTTATGGTTGGCTTGCATTGCAAGAGCAGTGGAGGCGTGGATTTGCATGCGGACCTTCTATGGTTCATGCAGGTTGTGGAGGAAGTTTGGCTTCATGTCATTCCCTGGATATTGCTGGTGTGGAGCTAATGGATCCACTTATGGCTGATGTAAGCTCAGATCTTTTGTATTTCAATGAAACTAAAGGCATCGCCATCCACCCTTGTCATACGCACTTGTGCGAATGTTCTCCGCTCTCCTTTCACTTTTTTTTGTTATTTTCTTGGATAGATTTCTGGCTAAACACTTTTAGGGGTCATTAATGCTGGTTAGTGTGAGGTTTGATGGTGGAGAAATTTTTTTCTTTTTTCCCATTTAAATATGTTTAAGTTTTATACTAGGAGTCAACTTTGTGATTGGGTTCTTGACTTGAGCTGTTGCCCTTTCCTTTCCTTTCTTTTCTTTTCTTTTTTTGAATCATAGGCTTGTGAAGTCTTTCTGGCCCTTTTTGCATGACATTTGCTGGTTCAGATAGTAGTATGACATCCCAATTAAACTGAAATAATATTGCGTCCAATCTATTACTTTCTTTCATGTTGCAATGGTTCTTAGGAAAAGTATCTTCTTTTTCAGGTTCATTCTTCATCAGTGATTAGTTTGCTGCAGTCAGACATAAGGACAGCCTTAAGATCTGCTTTTGATAGCAGGTTAGATGGCCCATTGTCTGTCACTGATTGGTGCAGAGGTTGTAGTCAATCAGTTGATGCAGGAACCGTGGGTGATGGGTATTCCACTAAACACCCCAGAGGTGAATTTAGAGATTCTTCAAGTACTGTTACTTTGTCTGTTGAAGCAACAAGCCCGTCTCAGTCATCTGTTATTGGATCCTCATGCCTGAAAGGTAGTCATTTGTTTACATTTATAGATGAACTGATATTCAAGGTTTTTGGTTTACCAACAGTTGGGTCACTGGTTTCACAGATGGAGCTAGAGTGGATGAGACAAACCAGAGGAGATCAAACCAAGAAACCTGCACTGCAGAGTCAGAGCAGCAGCTCAGGCCAACCGTATTTGTACTGCCGTTACCTTCTTTACTTGTGGGGTATGCCTTCTAATCCTTAAGGTTCTATTTTTGGTCTTTTTGTCATTTTTCACAAATTATTCAAGATCCAAATCAGCAACATGTTAATTGTGTCACAATTCTTGTTCAGTAATAAATACTAAAAATATCTACGTGTGATTTAATAGAAATGTGAACTTGTATCTTGTACCAGTGGCTCAGTTGAAATATTTATATTTATGGGGCATAAGACCCTGAGTTAGAGCTTGCCTGACACTCAAGGCTTGCAGTTCTTGCAGGCATCTAGGTTTTAATTACTGACTTGAAGTGTGTTTCAAATTCGTTGTTGCTAATTGGCGAAGAAAAGAAATATTGAAAATGTCTGTAGAATTCTGCAATTACTTCCCTCTCCAGATTCATAGCTCATTTGAAAAAATTGTATGGTTTACTGCTTATAATTCTTAGAAAAATTGCATCTCTAAATATCAAATATATACTTAAAAATTAAGCTTACCTACATCAATATTAAAAACTATTTTTATTTAAATTTTGAAATAAATGTAGAATTATTAAATAAGAAAATATTCTAAAAAAATCATAATAAAACTGAATATAATTTTGCATTTGATAGTTTTTTGTAGATAGTATTGTTATTATATTATTAGATAATTTTTTCTTTTTGTTTATAAATTTATTTGAAATTCTTTTTATTCCATTTTGATATTTTATTCCATATATTTCTAATTCTAATTTTGTATGCAATATTCATAATATTTTTATGTTCTTATATGCATAATAATTTTCTATACATAATAATATATTTACATATTGGTTTGTTTTCTATATTGTATATTTACTTCCTATAGATTTCTATATTCCATAATAAACTTAATCTAAGATTTTTTTACCATTTAATCTGCTTAATTAGAAATTAACTAATCCTAATCTAAATGAGACTTAACTTAATTATTAATTAAAAATAATATACTTTTTTAATGTAAAGGTGTTTTGGTGGTATTGGGGGGTGTAGGGTGTTCATGGTTTTTTAAAAACCTAAATGAATCATGCTGAAATGAATTTTTTTTTTTAAATTATAGGTTTGGGTATTAGGTAATATGGTACTAAATATTTTGGTACGGCTTTGATTTTGTAAATTTAAAGCCGAAAAAAAATTGCATCGAACCGAATGTTATATATAATAATTTATTAAATTATTTATATTGTATGTAAAATGATTAAATTCCTAAGCATTAACAATGATTTAATAATAAGTTGAAGAAATTAAAAAGCTAAGAACTTGTATGAAAAAAGGTAAATATTAGGGATTAAAGAGGAAAAGTATTCTAATATATATCATGCTCTTATAAGTAATTTCTTCACTTTTGTACATTTACTAGAAAATGAGATCTTTCCTTTTTTTTCTTTTTTTTTTTTAATCAGATTTAGGTTATAATGTGGTGAATCACTTTCCCATTTATTACATAATTTAAGTTTCATAAATTAACCGTACTTGGGAAGCCCCAACTAAAAAAAAAAAAAATGAAGCCCCAACTAAAAAAAAAAAATTTCACACACACTTGTCCATTCTAAATAAATAAAAAGTAAACTAAAAAGTTGTTCTAGAAAGAAACAAAATTTGAATGAAAAAATTCTATGCAAAGAAATTTGAACTAAGCACGAGGCTTTCTTCCCATTAAAAACCTGAAATTAACAAAAAGTTTATCATTTAGAAACTTCAGAATTGAATTTCAAATTTCAAAATAGAAATTATTATATCTTATATATCAATTACCAACGAAAAAATAAGTGTAAAACAATCAACATACTCAAAAGAAAACAAAATTAAAGTTAAATTTGTAAGATACCAATATATTATATATAATAATTTATTAAATTGTTTATATTATACAAAAAATAATTAAACTTCTAATTATTTAATTATAAGTTTTTAATTAAGTTATTTATATTATACATAAATTAATTAATCCCCTAAGTTAATGTTAGGTTTTTAATTAAGTTGATTTATAGTTTCGTGTTAAATTTAATTAAGCAAAGTTGGCTTTTTCATTTATTTCTATATGATTTTTATCGTTTATTTCTAAATAACCTTTGTAACAATTTTTATTTAATTATTTAAATTAGTGTTTACCTGTAACATGATTGAGTTACTAAATTTTTATTTAGTCTTGATGGATCTTGAAATATAAAAATATGTATATTTTGTGGGATTTTGTGAAAATTTTATTAGTTTACTTAAATACTTTAATATGGTTTAAAAACCAAATTGTACCAAACTGAATTGAAACCAAATAAAACCAAAAACTGAAAAAGTTGGTATGGTATAATCTTATGAAAAAACTGAACTGTGATCACCCCAAGGGGGGTGTATTCCCTTTCAACAAGCCCTCAAGACAGCACATAATGGCAGGGGGTGTTTGTGTCATGTGAAACCAAAGCAGAGATGAGGTCAGAGTTATTTCGTTAATGTCAAGGGAGGTTTCAGTTATTGGGCTAAATTACAGTGAAGATCAGCACAATAACCCGCCCCCAACCCTTTGTGGGTACTTGAACAGCAGAGGTGATGACTGCGGAGCAGCCATCCAAACCTTATTTTTCTTTGTTGTCAAGACTTTACTTGTTTGCTTAATCTTTTAAGATGCTAATCTGTTCAATAGCAGTTGACTTCTGTTAACCTTGTCCAGTGCTGTATAAAGACCTGTTCCGCAGATTCTATCAGCTATCACTGCTTCATCAACTGTAGTTACCAGCATGATGTTAATTAGTTATACACTTGTTGAAATTATTCTGCAAGTGATCTGCTGAATTTCTCTATCCTTCACTTAATTCTAGTGGCTTGTTGGTGTCTCATTTTGCATAATTTTTCTGTTGTAAGATGGCCTTTTATTAGCTTTAATAGTTAAGTGTAATTGCAAGTGGATAAGGAGAATTTGTTTCATGCAATAGCTACCAGGATGATTGGCTCAAGACAGCAGCAAGCTCTCTGCAACTCTGGGAAAAAGCTCCTCTTGAGCCGTATGCTCTCCAAAAACCTGTAAGACATGGTGCCAATTTCAACAAGCTTTCTGTTGGCACATCATCAATAATTTCTCTATGATATACTGAACAAAAGAATACTACAAATTGCTATTTTGTATTTATCCATTCTATTCTAAAATGGTTTTTTGCCCCCTTATTCTTGGTTAATTGTTGCAGATGACTTACTGTGTTGTATGTCCTGACATCGATCCCCTTACGACTGCTGCTGCAGACTTTTTCCAACAACTTGGCACTGGTGAGTGTAATAAACATTCCAGACCCAAAAGAAAAAATGAAAGAAGTGTGATGGGAAATCATATTCAAGTTCGATTAACAAGTGTGATATTTGGATATTTGGAATCAAGTATGTTTTTATAGTTTTTCTTTTTGTTGAGTGAGAAATATGACATGAAATAGGGCTTCCATAATCATGTAGAAAAGGTTTTTCTTATTGGTGTTCATATAAGAACGTATATGCCTTCAATCTCCTGCAAAATGGCGTAACTGAACATGTAAAGAGCAGGTGTCTGGCCTAAGACTGATTCCATGTTTATTGCTACTCTGGCTTCAGATTTAAGTGAGAAAGGTTATTCTCTACTTATAGTGGTTATGAACGCTATGGTTTCATTATATGGAGTGCAAGGTTACCATTTGTTTTGTTACCTGTGAGGCCATCACTTGAATTATATGCCATCAATTATGCATCTGTAACTTCGTTATTTCTAATGCATTCATCATGTTATATATTGCAACACTTCTATTTTATTGTCATTTTTTGGTCTTTATGCTTCTGGCTAAACAGTGGACTCCATGTTGGATAGTGTGCCTGTCTCTGTTTGTCCTTTCCCCTGTCCATTTATTTGTATGATGTAATCATGTCTAAATTCTTTCACGGTTTGTTTGTTCCAGTGTACGAGACATGCAAATTGGGGACTCATCTGCCTCATACTGTGGGAAATCAAATGGAGATAGACTCTGGAAAGTGGTCATCATCTGGTTTTGTTCTACTTGACTGCCCTCAATCAATGAAGATAGAAAGTAATACTGCTTCTCTTGTTGGATCAATAAGCGACTATTTTCTATCACTCTCCAATGGTTGGGATTTAACGAGCTTTCTAAAGTCTCTCTCTAAGGCTCTGAAAGCTTTGAAACTTAGTTCATGCCTTGCCTCTAATCCAAAAGAGGGAAATAGTGGTCCTTGCACAGTAAGTGTATTAATCTTTGAATCATAAAATGTGATAATCTTTTCCTGTCGTTGTTGATAAGAAGATTGAAATTTATGGCAGATGTATTTTATGGTATTATATATTAATATGGATTCTTCTAAATCCTTTGATTGATCAATGTTCATAGATTGATACTTCAATATTTTTCTTGTTTGTTTCCTTTCTGACAAGCTTATATGGGTTTGGGGGAAATAGTGGTCCTTGTGTGGTAAGCAGCCACTATTAGTTAACTCATGAAAATAGGTATACAGTATCTTTCATGCATTTTCTTGTTGATTTGATGATAGAAGTACATGCCGGTTGTACTTCATTGTATTATATGTGAATAAATTTTTTTTAATCCTTGATTTTTCATGATTATTTAAATTGCTACCTTAATATTTTGTTGTTTGTCTCCTTTCTTACAAGCTTATATGTATTTATAATTACGGGGCACAACGCTCACCTTTTTCTTTGCTAAACATTATATGATATGTGATTTTGAAGGATGGTGCCTGCCACACCCTGCTTTAATGATGATCAAACACATATATAACAAATTGGCCATGGTCTGTGAATTAATGTAATTTTGTGTGGAAATCTCATGGATGTGTTTAGTTTTATTATATGATTATGTTCCTATCTTTTTGCTCTCCTTTATTTTATTTTATTACTCTTTTTTTCTTTTATTTTGAGAGGGAAAGGGGGCTTACTACCTCAATAGTTAGACTCACTCTGGCTGTTGCTATTGTGGACATCTCCATGTTTATTTACATACCACAGAGTTGTACACACTTTTTCCTTCTGTTCTTGGTTCATGCTTCTTGCCGTCTTGTAGTGGTCTCAATAAAAGAAATGATATGTTAAAATTGGTAAGTATGTTGCAGATGGTGAGTAATTGAAGGAATGGAGGGATGAAGATTTGGAAACTATAGCCTTATTTTATATTTTATGGGAATTGTGGATGGATTTTGGTTATGTAGGACTTCTAGGATTGGCATCATTAGATTGAAGAATTGGTGTTGTGTTTTAGATGTAAAAGATGAAATGTGGACAGATTAACACTTTCAGGTTGTAGGTTTTGCAGCAAATTAGGATATCGGGGTAGTTGGCCTACAATATGGGCTTTTTAGAAATCCCGCTCCTTTGCCATGGGACTTGTAGCAGGCTGTCTAGGGGAATGAAGCAATATCCAAGCAATAAGAATGGTTGTATTTTTTTGGGGAATGTTCATTGTACATTTCCCTTTTTTCATGCTTTGTGGCATCTCCATTGCTTTTGGTGTGTGGCTGGTTATAGTCTGATTAATCTCTCTTTGTCTAAATTGCTGCTTTCTTGAATTAGGTTATCTATGTGGTGTGTCCTTTCCCTGAACCAAATGCAGTCCTAAGGACAGTCGTTGAATCTTCCATTGCTGTTGGATCGGTGATTTTTTCGTCAGACAAAGAGAGGAGAACTATGTTGCATAATCATGTTGGGAAGGCATTAAGCTGCTCGGCAGCTGTGGATGAAGCATCAGTATCAAATGTTTTGACACTTTCCGGATTTAGCATTCCTAAATTGGTATTGCAGATTGTGCCAGTAGATGCCATCTTTAGGGTCACTAGTACAGCTCTTAGTGAGCTTGTCACTCTCAAGGAGATAGCTTTCACTGTTTATAATAAAGCTCGACGAATTTCTCGGGGAACCTCTACTGATGCAGTTCAGTCTTCCACTTTGTCTAGTAGATCTCAATCAGTTATGATGCAAATGACCTCATCAGTTTCAGGTATGTGGAAGGAGTGTATTGGTTCTCGAATTACAGGACCTTCCCTTCCGAGGGAGGGTGAACTCGATCCTAGTTTGAGGCCTGGTACTTGGGATAATTCATGGCAGTCATCAAGAACTGGAGGTTTAGGTTGTGATCCACACAAAATTGGAGATTTTATTCTTCAAGATGAAATGCATTACATGTTTGAACCACTATTCATACTTGCAGAACCCAGTTCTCTGGAGCATGGTGTCTTGCCTACGGTATCTAATCTAACATCTGACTCCTCAAAGCCTTTGTCTGATGACTGTAATAGTGGAAGCCTTGTCCAGAATTCAGTATCATCAGTAAGTGTAGATACTGCATCAAGCTCTCAACTTGATGGATCAGAGACAGAAGGCTTTCGATCTGGCCATCAAAAGACACTTCCAAGCCTTCATTGTTGCTATGGATGGACGGAGGATTGGCGTTGGCTAGTATCTATATGGACAGACTCTAGGGGAGAAATGCTGGACAGTCATGTATTTCCCTTTGGTGGAATTAGTAGTAGGCAAGATACTAAAGGTCTGCAGTCAGTTTTTGTTCAAATGCTACAGCAAGGCTGTCAGATACTGCAGGGATGTTCTTCATCTGATAATGGAGTTGTCAAGCCCAGAGACTTTGTGATTACACGTATTGGATGTTTCTTTGAGCTTGAAAGCCAAGGTACATTACTTCCTTCTAGCGGCTTAGCTTACCTAGGAATTCTGTTTAATAATATTGCAATTACTTTTTTGTTTTACTTTGGTGTACAGTCTTGAGCATGCTCTTGCATGTGACTTTTAACATATTTTTAACATTAATAATAATATATCCCCCCTTAATTGTATCCATGTTAAGTAGAATAACATGGATTATTAACAATTCAAAAGAATTTATATTTGTTGTTCCTTTTTTTTTTTTGGGAAGAAAGTAAAATAATTCACTGTGTCAATTTATATCTTACTTTAATGTGTTAGGGGTTAGTTGATCATTTCTCCAAGACTGATATAGGATATGTAAATTTTGTACAGTACCACTATTGCCAAAAGCTAGGGAGTGATTATTCTTTGTGCTCTTTATTTTGTAGAAATTTTCTACGTGGTTAATAAAATAAAAGCTTTTTAAGTGAAATAATATGTAATATGTCTAAAGACATATTGCTTGAATTAGGTTTAAATTAAATTTTTATTTCTAATTCCAAAATCTATAAAATTAGAAACTGAATTACCTCTTGACATGATTGGTTTAGTTCAGTTTTATAGTTTGATAAACTTTTAGCCATTGTGTCTTATAATTTATTTATTTATTTTTGGCACAAATTGTTGTTTAAATAGTAATAAATGAATTCAGTAAAATTGTATTAATAATTATTATTTTTTCGATGAACTAATGTTGGTTGAGTGTGTCATGGTATTATACTACATCTTTAAAAAATGGATAGTTATTGCATAAATAATCTTTATTCTTAACTTTTAGTAACAATTTATATATGTAAGTTTTAGTTCAGAAAGCTACTAATAGATTAGTGATTCTGAAGCTTCTGATTATGTTAATTAGTTATTTCAGTTTGAAGTAATATTTTATTCCTAATTATGTCTTTCACAGTTTCATTAAATTTTAACTTGCTTAAAATGACCTAAAAATTCAGAAAAATAAAAGAAATATATAGCAAATATCAATAAATATTTTAAGCTAACTTTGTTCAAATATAATGTGTAATGAAAAATTGCATGTAAATTACAGGATTTTAATGTTAATATTAAATTTATTGTCGTTTATTATAATGATGTCATACTTTTATATGTACTATAAATCATAGATGTGTGTGTATAGAATTATAGATTTTAGATATTAGTGTTGTTATATAGTTTTGAACAGAGTTGGCAACTAAAGAGATTGGGATATAGTTGGACCTTTACATCGGTATTTGAAAGATGTTAAAGACTTTCTTGTTAGCTAAATTTGTTCAATATAATATTTGATTAAATATTTTGTTTAAATTGCAGCAGTTTAATGTGAACATTATAGTTATTGTATATTATAATGCCATCTTATTTTTATATATTATAAATCATAGATACATGTACGTGTGTAGACACACGCGCACACAGAATTTTAGATTATTGACATTATTATTATTATTATATATTTTTGATTAGATGTTGACAACTAAAGAGATTAGGATATAGTTGAACATCTATAGAAGTGTTTGAAGGATGTTAAGAGACTCTTTCTTGAGGACTGTTGTCATAGGTTCTTCTAATTAAATTGGTACCTGGATATGTTGCTTTAATTAAAATAGAACTCTTAAATTTGAATTTAGAAAAAGGTTATTTTGGTTATTAAAAATATAAATTGAAGCGTCATTTTGTCAAAACAAAATGCTAAGCACTTAAGACTTACATAGAGAGAAGAAATTGAAGAGAGAGTTGGAAAAAAAAAGCGCGGGTCATTGAATTCAGTATGTACCTGATAATAACCTGCCTAATTAAACCTATTTAGCAGTTGGGCGGGTTCAGAATCAACCCTTTTAATTGCAGAAGCTGCTTTAGCCCACCAGAGTGCACCCAAACCTGCCCATTTGCCACCTCTAGTAGAACTCTCTAAATGCAAATGAAGAAGTGATTTGACGGATGAAAATCCAAATGTAGAAATTTTGTACTTAGTTTCAATAATATGTATGGCTCTATTGGTCGGTATGTAATAGACTTAACTCTTCAGGCAGAATAGATGAAGTGGAGAAATCTTTTAGCAGTCTTGTGTGATTAATGCATAGTCCTTTCCAAGACAGTTAAAGACCAGGTTTTGTCAATGGCTTGGAGTGTTGGGCAATTAAGAAATGATATGTTAGCAAAATGAGTATATTAGAATGGGAATGTTGAGGTTGACATGTGGTATGACTGGGAGATATAAAAATAGAAATGACCTAATTAATGAAATGAAAATGTTAAAATGATCTAGGTTTAAAAAAAAAGAAAAAAAAAGAAAGGAATCTGCATATGTAGATGCTAATAATATAAGATCATATGGGCCAAAATTAGGTTCCATTGGGATAATAAATAAATATTTTGACGAAAAATCTGTGGTAAATGGTGGTTTCTGTTGCTTTGTGAATATAGTTCTTTGCAATGACTTTTTCTTAACTAAAGCTAATTATTCTGAACAGAATGGCAAAAGGCACTCTATTTGGTTGGTGGTTCTGAGGTGAAAAAGTGGGCTCTGCAATTACGGCGATCAGCACCCGATGGTATGCTGGCTAGCAGTAATGGAACTTCCTTGCAGGAACAGGAAATGGGTTTAATTCCAGAGAGAACCATTCCTTCTTCACCAGGTCCTTTGTATAGTCCTCACTCAAAAGCTTCTGGTTTCATGAAAGGCAGTTTGGGTCAATCATCTGCTAGAAAGCAGCTAATAACTGGCCATCCAGGTGCAGACAACAGTAGGGGTTTGCTCCAGTGGGTGCAAAGCATTAGTTTCATCTCAGTTTCAGTTGACCATTCCTTACAGCTTGTTTTTCAAGCTGATTCATCCTCTCCTGGTAATTGTCAATTTTCTTTATTTCTATTCTCATGTTCTGCCATTTGTGTTGCCATTGTTCCTTTGAAATCTTCAAAATGGTACTGCATGTTGGAAGGCTATAAGTTGCTAAAATAAAGGCCCAAGCGTGTGAATCGACCGCTAGGCATGGTCATTTAATCTGCAATTGCAACATATGTAGGAGATTTTGTTTTTGTGGAACTAGGTAACTTATGTTGAGCATGGTGCTTTGTGACCATAAGCTTTGTCTCTTCCCATTAGGATACATGATGACAGGATGTGGCTATCTAGAAGTTGTGCAAAATTTCCTTCTTTCATATAGGATAATATAATATAGATCAAGAATCTGTAAAAATTCCTGGGCCAAGATGCCCCCTGCTTTGCTGGGGATGGGGAGGGGTGTCAATGTTTTCAGCTTTGCCCCTACTTCCCAAATATGTTGTTCTATGACCTTACAGTCAGAAAGGAGTGAAATTATTATTGATCCAAGGCTCATCCTCTACTTCTAGAGGGCCTTAAATTGAGTCATGGATAGTTTGGGAAATTAAGGTGATTGGTGTTGAACTTTTGTTATAGTTAATATGTGGATATGTGTTGGAGATTACTTCAAACTAGTCAAGACCAATGCTAAATTTAGTATGAATGGATCATTATGCTACTGAAGGAAGAATGCTGAATAATCTGAAATATTTTTCAAGATCGTGACCATTGAGACATGAAAACTCAACTTACACTAGTTTCTGGCTTGGGAAGCATAGTTAATGGCTGATCTATCAGGTATGTGTGTAAGTGCAATTCCTTGCTGAGTGTGAATGAAAATAGAGAATTGGGAGGTGGCAATGGATGTGTCCAAGAAAAATAATTTTCAGCACAATGTTCTCAAGAATTATCTTGCACGAGGGTGGGCCTTGGTGTGTCATTTGAGTTTGTTCTTTTGCAGCTTGAGTCATAAGATTAAATTGTGGAAGCAATCAATCTACATGCAAGGTTGCTTAAATTTGATTCCGCAACATTCTGCATTGTGGTAGTTTTATGCACTAGCCTTTCTCTTGCTTCCTTTTTTCTGTAAGATTAATATATTAGACCCGACTGCCCAATATTTGTATCAATATTTCCTCTTCCCTGCTTTTCCTACTTATGACATCTTCGAATCCTAATATTTTGTTTGCAGTGCTAAATTGGTACTTAACCTATTGAACCCGTGTGCTTATTTTGCAGGGAGTACTCAAGGTAGCAGCACAGGGAACCTGTCTGGTTATCTTGAAGGATTCACTCCTGTTAAATCTCTTGGGAATGCATCTGCCTCTTATGTTCTAGTTCCTTCTCCCAATATGCGCTTCCTCCCCCCAACTCCACTGCAGCTTCCCACATGCCTCACCGCAGAATCGCCTCCACTTGCCCATCTCTTACACAGCAAAGGTTCTGCAGTTCCCCTCTCCACGGGGTTTGTGGTATCGAAAGCTGTATCTTCTGTGTGGAAAGATTCTAGGAGCAATTCAAAGGAAGAATGGCCCTCAGTTCTGTCTGTCAGTCTTGTTGATTATTATGGAGGCAATAATTTTACCCAAGAAAAGAATCTTAGGGGGGTTGTCAAGCAGGGAGGGAGAGTTTTAAGCTCCGAAGCTAGAGATTTTGAAACAGGGCCCAATTTGATTCTCGAGACTCTAGCGGCTGAACTTCATGCTTTGTCATGGATGACTGTTAGCCCAGCATACTTGGAAAGGCGAACTGCGCTGCCCTTTCACTGCGACATGGTTTTAAGACTGAGAAGGCTTCTTCACTTTGCAGATAAAGAAATCTCCCGGTGTACATGAAAACCACACATTAGGTGAAGCAAAACTGATCAAATTTCCTCTGGAAAGTTGGGCTGTCCACTATACAATTCTCAATTTGAGGACGTGGTTTTGAGCTGATGCTACTTCAATCTGTCAATTTTCTTCACCAACCAGGAAGTAACCTTCATAGGTCCAATAAAAAATTGCGAACGCTGTATCCTATGAAAGGCAAGACTAGGATCATCGCTACATGAGCTGCTGTATTAGTGTGCCAGTATTATTGTTTATATATCTAGTTGTAACATGAAATTTGCACATATAGTTCTAGCCTAGTAATTGGCTACATTTTTTTTTACAACTTTATTCTGGGGATTTCCCATAATTGCTTAGTTTGGGAAAGAGTCATACAGATTTAGGAGTAGAAATAGGAAAGCAGATCTGAGGGGTATGTACATAAACCTTCAGAAAAAATTTAGTCTCAGCAAAGCATGATTTGGTAGGACTAATTAGTGTGAATGTGATTGTCCATTGCTTGACTGCATCTAACTGTACCAGAGACATTAATGTAATCTTTCATAAGATGATGTGTAAAACTGTGGCAAAGAGGGGCTGGTTTATGGATGACTGCTCATTTACTGTTGCATTTTAAAAGCTGAAGAATAAGGATGTGAAATGCGTCTATTAAGTTATACGTAGCGTTAGGCTGGTGAGCTCTACGTTATAGATTGCTTGCATTAACCGGGTCCATCTAATTTTAAGCAGTGGCTTCAGAGTTTGAGTTGCTTCCTTTTGCTGCCGTTTCTTTCTCTTGTTGTAAAATCCAATCAGATAGATTTCAAGTCAACAGTAATTGTGGTTGGGGAAATGATGCTTTATTGTATCTAATATGAGAATTAGCGTCATGCTCTGACCAGAGAGTGATGCCAATGACGAGAGGAGATCTCCTGGATGCCTTCCCGTGACAGTTCGCAGTGCCACCACCACAAAGAAATACACATTAATTTCTCTAAATTTTAATTTGGTCACAGCGAGCAGCTCACAATCCTATTCCAATGCCTTCAATATCCGGTTCTCAAGGTGCAAGACAAGCTTCATTCTAGAAAGCTAACTTTTTAATAGAACTTTTTGCAAGTTCTTTTTATTCCTCGTGATGCTGTTAAGATGTCAAAATTTTTTTTTTATATTTTTTAGTTTGATTTATAGGAAAAGAGTTATTGTGAAAGGGTGCTCTTCAAATCAAATTTATCTTGGAGTTGCACTTTTTCAGCTCTGAACATCTCGCACATGAAGCCAAATTTCGGATGGAAAGGCAAACTCAAAGATTTGCAAGCAAAGCTGCATCAATCTAACGACAAACAAAACACAGAAAACACAAGTTGCTAATGGGAAAGTTTCCACCCAAAAGAAAAGTTAACTTCCTATTTATTTGTTTTTTTTTTTAACCTATTGGATCCCCACCAACCCAAAAAAAAAAAAAAAAAAAAGGGATTGGATTTGAACATCCTATCAGGGAGAAGGTCCAGCCCAGAAAAGATGCTGGTGACATCAGGGTAGCAACTCTTCCATTAACCCTATCAATACCATGTGTGTGTACATCGCTACAGGCAACCTCTACTCTTTTCCTCTTCGCATTCACCTATGGCAGCAGAAGTAGAACGATCAACCCGTACTTGACTAGACCAATGCAATGAGCCCCAAAGACATGGTCATGCGGTATCAGCTGTTCTTGGGGGAGAGAGGAATTTACGAACTTTGTTCATTTCCTCGCAATTTTATGTCACAAACCATGGTGTCGTCAAATCCTACACGAACAAAAAGAAGTCAAAACTTAATTTATGACGAAGTATTTAATTATTCTTATCCGGGGCAAAAATTATCCCATGGTGTCTGCTCTTACATTTTGATTGGACGAATCGAGATATAACAGTCTTGCCTGCCAAAATCGGAGACAAAAGCTTGCAAATTTGAGTTTGGTAGGACGTTGTTGGATCCGCGACGGACCCACTTGAACCAAAGAAGGATTTTCACTAGACTTTTGTGTTTTCTCCCACTGACTTTATTTGCCCATATATTTCTCAACAATTGAGTTTTTAAATTTTTAAAATTGATGTAATGGTGGAAATTTAATGTCAAAAAGATGGTGTCTAAATTGCAACTGAACACAAATTTTCCTCTTAGTATATGCGTTTATATATGTAAATATACATTGTCCTACCCATTTTTTTCAATATCCATGACTAACGGTTCTTATCCGCCGAGCCCATGCTCGTTCAATGCCTTCGTCATCGATTCTCAAGTTGCAAAACAAGCTTCCTCTTTCCATGTACTCATATACCAAGAACATGCTTTTTGTAGTGGCAGCAAAAGTCACAGAGCTATGCTATATTCTTGTGCTGTATACTCGTCAACATTTGTACCTCGTTCCTAAAGCACTAGTCAAACCTGCTTCTCTGTCTTTCTGGACGGTAAGTTTATTCAAAGCAACTACTTGGTCGTCGAGAATCTATGCTTTGTAAATACTGAATTCATAGCAACCACGAAGCATACTGCTGCGTCAACCTCAATCAAGTAATTGAAGGACATAATTCTACAGATTGTGAGTTTTATACAATAAAATCATGGGAACGCATTTTTATTCTACAGTCACATAGTCCTTTCTGCTAGTTGTTATTGATGGGATTTGCAACGAGTGTTTATGAGCAATTCACAACTAATAATTATGGGTAATTTAAAATACACAAACAATTACACAAGGCACAACAATTTTTAACGTAGAAAACTCTTTGAATGTAAAGGATAAAACCACATGAACTCTCTCCGGTCCAAGGAAAAACTCTACTATCAAAATATTAATGTTTACAGCAATTACAATCTGACACAAGTAATCCACAACCAAAATCTCAATCACACTTCCAAATTATTCAATAGATAATAAGGTTATGGAAAGATATCACCAAGAGCAATTGCTGTCAACACAATCTGAGCACCTTTCGGTTGTTCAAATGCAATCTCCACCGTTCAAAATAAAGAACGATGAGTCCAAAACATGCTCTTCAAAAATCAGCTCAGTCAAACCACAAATGACTTTCCGATCAGTAAAGATGATGAAACTAGTTTTCTGATAGAGCAACTTGAAAATAGATTGCGTTCGAGCCATCTAAACTCAATGATTTTGACAACCAAATCGGATCTTTACCGTTCAGAATCAAGAACCACAAGCGAAGAATAGCCACTCCAAATTTGAGCTCGATCCAACGGTGAACGAACTTGAAAACAGTAAAAGAGTGAATTGAATATAGAAAAATTTCTAGAAGAAACCTAGAAAATGATTTCTATAAATTACCCAAAACTTGATGATTCAGATTTCTGAACAAGATCTTCACCGTTCACATTCAAGAACAAAGGATGAAAAACATCAAGTTCAAATTTGAACTCGATCCAACGGTGAGCGAACTTACAAATGCAAGTTCAATGAGCTGAATGCTTGGAAAAAAAATGGCTTCTCTCTCCCTTGGTGAGCTGCACCTCCTTCACTCTTCTGGTAGGCTACAATTTTTCCTTCTAAACCTAAACACATGAAAAAATACAATATATATGTAAAGGGTTTGAAACCCTAGTGGGATTCACAATTTTTTTTTTTTTTATTCCCTTCACATAGGAGGGAACCCAACAGCTATTGGGAGTCAAGAAGTTGCCTTTTCTGCCTTGGTCCTGTTCCCTTTCCTCAACATGCAGTCATGATTTTTGAGGCCATTCATTGCCTTCATACCTTTTGGGTCGCACTCACAAGATTGAATAACAAATGGTGGCACATATGTAACAGTTCGGATTCATTATACATGACCTAATGAAATAAATAAAAAATGAATTTCATGCAAACTGGGGAAGGGGGGTTGATGTGCAAGTCTTGATTTATTGATCCAATCAATTTGTACAACTGTAATCTATTACAATGACAAAAACTTGGTGCCCCCATTAAAGGGCAAATGTGAAGAAGTAGAAAATTCAAAGAGAGACTATAATTATAAAACCCACTCATGATTCACCAAAATTGAAGTTGAAGGACATTCTAATTAAATTAATTCATCCTTTGGCTTCAACTTCACATTAAGTAACTGTATGAATGATTCTCATGCAATCTATGTACAATTGGATAACTGTAAAACTTACTAAGGTTCCTCTGCCGCAAAACAATCATGTTTTTGGTCCTCAAATCCTATGAATGGACCCTCTTTTGAAATTAGTTTACATAATTTCATGGAGTATTACCTATGGTGTTATTTGAGCTAAGACTATGTTATGCTTTCAAATCTTGCAAAGGATTACTAGAAAATGATAGCTCTGCCAATGAGATTACCTTTTGGTGGTTGCAAAGCTTGCTTTTTGGATATGAAGTAAACCAATTTCCCCTTCAGTCTTATCAGAGCACTATGATGATGTGGAAATAACTATGACGACTGAGCATCTCAAACTTCTTATACTTGATACGAAGTGTTTATTTGTCTAATTGTATACATGAAATAAGAATTCAAAACTCTAAAAATATTAATTATTTGTATATCAGATAAAATCCGCTTAGGCATGATGTAGTTCTTCCAAAGAAATTGCACGAAGAGGTGTAGCCATGGCCTTCTTGGACGAGAGGAACTCCTGAGACACATTTAACATTGTTGGTCGAGATTTGGGCCTGGAATGTAAGCACGCAAAAGCCATTTTAGCAACAAGAACAAGTTCACCTACAACCACAGGATTAGTTGGAAGAGGAAGACGTGGATCCAAAATATCAATTAATTTCATGCTCAACATAGAAGGCGATGTCAATGACGAGAGGAGTTCTGTCGGATGCTTCCCCATGATAGTTTCCAATGCCACCACCCCAAAGCTATACGCATCACATTTTTCTGTCACAACCACAGTGTAGGCAAGTTCTGCAAAATAAAACCATCAACTTGGCTTACTCTTTCAAAGAAATTAGTAGAACAATAGAATAATGTTGATACCTGGGGCGATATAACCTGAAGTTCCTGTAACTATAGTTT